AACCAAAAATGTATGCCATATTATTTATTCAAATATAAATAATATGAAATAATATAACGTAAGTAATGCTACAATGAAAATATAATATTTAGTGTATTTTTTAACATTTCACAAAACGATTTTACTCAGATTCTGTCACAGATTTTTAAAAATAGATATATAACAAAATTTCCCATTTTAGCCCATATATATATTGATTTTTTACAGAGAGGAAGGGAGAGAGATAGAGAGTTAGAAACATCGATGAGAGAGAAACATCGATCAGCTGTCTCCTGCACACCCCTACTGGGGATGTGCCTGCAACCAAGGTACATGCTCTTGACCGGAATCAAACCTGGGACCTTTCAGTCCGCAGGCCGATGCTTCATCCACTGAGCCAAACCAGTTACGGCCCACTTTAGCCCTTTTAAAGTGTATATATTCAGTGGCACTATTTACATTCACAATGTTGTGCAACCCTCATTGCTATTACCAAAACCCTTGCATCACCCCAAACAGAAACTGCCACCAAGAAGCAGTAGCTCACCATTTCTCCCCTTCCCTAAGTCCTTGGTAGCCTCTAATCCACTTCTGTCTGTATAAATTTACCTATTCTATATACATCATGTAAGTGATATCATATAGTATTTGCCCTTTTGTGTCTGGTTTATTTCACTTAGCATGTTTTCAAGGTTCATCCATGTTTCAGAAACCTCATTCTTTATATCTATCTATGTCTATATCTATGTCTATATCTATGTCTATGTCTATGTCTATGTCTATATCTATATGTCACATTTCTATTATCCATTCACCTGTTAATGGTCACTTAGCTTGTTTCCACCTTTTGGCTATTGTGAATAATGTTTGAGTTGGCATACAAATATCTGTTTGAATCCCCGTTTTCATTTCTTTTGAGTATATACCTGGCATGGAATTGCTGGGTCATATGGTAATTCTATGTCTAACTTTTTGAGGAAGCACCAAACTCTCTTCCACAGTGGCTGCACCATTCTACAGTCCCACTCACAATGCACGAGGTTCCAGTTTCTCCATATTCTCACCAACATTTATTATTTTCCTTTTTTAATTTTTATTTATTTATTTTTTTAAAAAAATATATGTTGTTTTTGTATGAAGTGGTATTTCATTATGGTTTTGATTTGCATTTCCTAATGATTAATATTGTTGCCCCTCTTTTCATGTGCTTATTTGTCATTTGTATAACTTCCTTGGAGAAATGTCTAAAATGGGTTGTTTATTATCTTTTTGTTATTGAGTTGTAGTTCTTTATATATTCTGGATAATAAACCTAATTTATCAGCTATGATTTGCAAATATTTTCTCCCATTTTGTGGATTAATGGGCTTTTATTTTATTTTTTTCTAAAGAAATTCCTAAACGTGTAATGGCTAAGCAAGAGGTAGAGTTCATCTTTCAAATAGATAATTGCCAAATTGCCCCCAGAAAGGTTAGACCCGTGTTATTGTCCTTCCATAAGAGATGGTGAGTTTCCCCCAACCCCTCCCAAGGCTGGTTATGAACTCTCCAATTTTTGTGAAGATATTAGGTGAAAAATGATTTGTTTTTATTTTCAACTCATTGAATATTCATGAGATTAAGTATTTTTTATAAATTGGCCATTTGTGTTTTGTCTTTCATGAGTGCATATTTAATATCCTTTCCCAGGTTTGTTTTTGGGGTTTTCTCTTTTTTTTTCCTTAGTGATTTATAGAAGCTCTTAATACAGAGATACCAACCCTATTTTATATGTTATAAATATTTTTTCCCATAACTTTGTTTATGGCCATCTATGAATCTTTAAAGTATTTTATTTACAACTAACTATGTATTGGCTCTGCAAAATAAAGCTGCCTCACAGGCCAGATAGAAATAGAAGCAAGTTCCTGAATAAATAATACTACCATGAAAATCTGTAGCTCAAATCACCTAATAGTTGTACCTCTCCAAGCTCTCAGTCGGATTCAGAATATTTAATTCACAGATCACATCCTGATTTGAATTTGTTGTGCAGGCAACACCAGCTTCTAGGGAAATGGGTCTTGGCTTCATATTCATGGCCTCATAATTTTCCTCCAGAAGCAAAACCCAAATAATGAGGGGGTTTTAGGGGTGTGACCCATTTCTCATCACTCCCATGCCATGTTAGCCCGCCTTGAAGTCTAGTGCCAGGAAAATAACAGCAATACATGATGGTGAGCACGCTTTCCTATATTCTCAGCAGACCTCAGCTGGCCCTGGATCGGATTCTGAAGGATTGGTTTAGTTGCTTATCTTGACAGAGAAATTGTGGCTCTTAAAGTATTCATTAAAATATAATCTTTCTGTGTCTGGGATCAACGTGAAATAATTAGTATATTTACAATGCAAACATTTCCAGCTTCTAACCTGGCAGAGATTGAAACATCTGTGTGAAAGGAGAGAGCCTGGAAATTTCTGAATTACAGTAGCACCTTTAAAGGGAATGATTATCTGCCAAGGGGAGGATAAGAAGTGTCTAAATACCTAGGTCAGAACCCCGTCCTTTAATCAGAGCTTCCCCCGGGGCCAGGGCAAGACTCCCTACCTTGATGAAGGAGTACAGAGACTTTCCATAGAGCCTCTTGAAGTGTGCCCGGATGTCCAACATATCAATCTCCGCTCGAGAAACCATCACTCTGATAAGGGTGTCATCATCGGTGCCCAAGCCCTAGGGAAGAGAACAAGATCCCACCCTATTAAGGTCTAGAATGGTTTCCATTCAGTGCTCTTCTGTCTGTCAGGGCAAGACTGTGCATGACTCTCCTGATGATGTCCTTTATGCCACGACCTAAGGGGCATGTGGAATACCTCTCCTCACCAACTTACCTTCCCAATCCGCTTTTCTCACACTCTAGACATACCCTGTGTTCTCCAGCTACAAGCTTCACTTGCAATGATTCCTTCCCACCCATCCAACCCATGGTATCCTTTCCTCCCCACTCTTTCTCCCATGTAATATCTTCCAATGTCAAACTTCCTTTAAGGTCCTGCTTAAACATAACAATTTCTTTATATATTCTTTTCTGATCTACACCTTCTAAAAACACCAAATGTTTGGGGAAAAAAATACTCTATCCTCTCTGTTCCTGTAACGTTTTGATCCTCAGTTACTGTATTGCATTCTATTTTGTTCTTATTGGTGTTTTGACATACCTGCCTTCCCCTCAAGGCTGGAAGTTCTTTGAGAGCAAGGACTACATTTTCATCTTTCCTGCACTGCCCTGGTTCCCAGCAAAGGTACCGGCATAGAGTACAATGCATGGTTAGGAGCTTGAGTTCTAAAGCCAAACTGCCAGTGTGTGCATCCCAACTCCATTATTTCTTCAATGAGGGCCCTGGGCAAATTTCATATCCTCTCTATCCCTCAGTTTACTCATCTGTAAAATGGGGGCTGATAATAGTACCTACCTCATAAGGTTGTTTTGGGAATAAAACTAATCTACATGGTTTCCTCACCAAAATGTATACATACTTTTACAGCTGATAGCTCAATTTTGGAAATGTATTTTAATAAGCACAGTCTTTATGATTATTCAAAGTATGCATATATATTTTGGGGGGACACCCTATATATGTATAGAGTATTAGAAAGAATGATCACACATTATAAGTATTCAACAAATATTACCTAGTAGTATTATTAGCAGGCACTCAGTGAAGTATTGATCAATTAAACTGAATATATTAGACTGATTTTGTCTCATTTGGACACAAGACATGTCAGAGCCATTCAGATGCTTAAAAAGAAGCCTTTACCTTCATAGATTTATAAAGCCTCTCAGCAAAATACGCAGATTTGTTCCTCATGCACTTTACTGTTAAGAGATTAAAAAAAAAGAAATGAGAAGATTACCGATAAAATCTATGAGAAAACATGACAGTTGTTCCTTCTGTTTCTATAAACTATGAAGTAGTATCTCTTTGTCAGAAAAACTGTAGCCAAGCAATGTTTTATGAAGACAGGCTATGCTGAAAGCACTTTCACAGATGGGAAGCACTCATTTATTGTCAAGTTCTTGGAGAAGTAATTAATAAAGGCCATTAAAGCAAAAGGCAGCATATAGTTTAAAAATGACTACCATCTTTACCGTATGAAGTTATTCGTTTTAACCATTCACAGACTTATAAGTTGCAGCTAGTAAAGGATTGTCGTTCTCATACCCTTAAGTACAAAGGCACAGAGGATATAAAATATATAAAGCCACATGGTACAATGAAAATCAGGTTTGAATATAATAGTTCTTGTTTAAAATTGCGGGTCACAGCATGAGTGATTTAAACAATTTCTTTTTTATCCCTGAAAAAAAATTTCTACATCCCATGACTACAAACTGATAGCAAAGTCTATAAACATTTGTTTCTCCACCCCAACCCCTGCCAAGCTTACCTATGGCCAGCAGGGCATCTTCGAAGCTGCCAGATGTCTCAGATTTAATACTCTGTTCGATATCCTTCTGTGATATCCTTTTGTATTCATCAAATACTACAAACAATAACAAAATGGAATTACAAATAATAAAAAAAAGAACAGAGGACATTAATATTTATAGAGAGAATGAGCATCTTTTAACAAGATCACATTATTCTTTGGCATATTTCTGGAAGGAACTAGTTAGCAATGGGGTGAAACCCAGGAGGCCTGTGGTAAGTGGAATGAGCCTGAGGAGAGGAGGATGTCAGGCAAGTCTGTTCCCTTATCTGAGACCCCGTTTTCTCCCTCATCAAATGGGGATAACCTTCGGAGAGATCTGCTTTCTGTTCTCATCGTTTGTAATCAGATGAATGTGTCTTTTTATAATTTTGGCCTTGGCAATCACCCCTTATCCTCCTTTTGGCTCATCGAAACTAGAGCAATCCAACCTCATCTTTTAATCGATTTTAACATATTGACATTTTTCACTTTTTTTGTCAAGTTTTTGAACGTGATAAATGTATCTTCCTCTCTTGCTGCCTTCTTAGAGCGGATACCTGTTTTGTTTATCATCTTAGCATCACCTTCTTTGGGAGGTTGGCTTCCCAATAGTGTGATTCTCACGGGGCTGTCAATCCAAGAACACCCCTGTCCCTCAACATATACCACAAGCTCTACCGAATCAGTGAGCAGTTCACCCAGCTGGCACCAATCAGTCTCAGGCTCCTGGGAATGTTTAAATTGAGTACAGAGATCATGGGGATGGCCAAAAGCACGTTCAGAGAATAAAAGAATCACCTGGGGAACCTGTTAAACTTCCTGAGGGTCACTCTCAGAGGTTCTTCCAAGTCAGCCAGTCTGAAGTAGGGGTTCAAGAATCAGCATTTTCCATGGAGACCAGACTTTGGGAAACTGCCTTAGAAATAAAATCCATGACTCCCTCCTAGCGAGAGCCCCCAGATCTGCTTTAATTTCTGTTCTTCCTGGAGTCGTTCAGCTCTCCCTTCAATTCAATGAGCCACCAATAGTCTCCATTTTCCCTCTGGTCCCATTCTATATTATTTCCTTTTGTAAAAAAAAAAATCTTAAATTGGAATCAGTGTATATTGCTTGGAATAAAAAAATCTAATTGACACATTTTCTAAACCTCAGTCTTTTCCACTGCAAAATGGGGAAAATAATACTCCCATTCTATATTATTTCCTTTTAAAAAAAATCTTAAATTGGAATCAGTGTATATTACTTGGAATAAAAAAATCTAATTGACACATTTTCTAAACCTCAGTCTTTTCCACTGCAAAATGGGGAAAATAATAGCTGTCCCATTGGGATGTTGAACAAACAATGCTTATAATACGCTTAGCACTAACACCGAGAAGTTGGAGAATTAACAAAACCTTAGTTATGAATTCTTACTATTATTGTTGGTGGGTTAGAAACTTATAAAGTTTTCTTTATTAAAATAATGCTTAAAGTATTTTCTTCCAGTGGCTTACAAACAGATTATTTTATAACTGCCCAACTATTGACTTGTGCTCGGAAGTGGAATTTGTTACAAATGTATTTGCATGAAATCGACATCTGAGGACCTGCAGTTTTTGGAAAGTACCACCAGGGGGAGATCTGTGTTGTTAGCACAGTAATCAGGCCAGGCAAGGCAAAGGACCAGGGAGCTGTCGGAAGGTGGTGCATCCGGGGTGTGACACAGTCCATGACACTTATTAACGGAGTAATCACCTATTTCTCGTCACTGTGGCACATCTGAAATAATTCCAACTTCCAAATGTGTTGTAATTTCCAATTACTTCGTTTTCAGTTTTGCGAACTCATTCTCAAATTTCCCACAAGTTTTGCAAATTGTGATGATAAGGCCACGGTGGGTTTATAAAATTATGACATTAGCATAAAGACGTAAGGAGCTTATAAAAAATGAAATAGCTTATTAAACTCTCATTGCTGTTTACAAGAAGAAATAAACCTGACAACAAATATTCTACAATTGTTTGGTATCTTTTCCCCAAAGGAATTAAAAGCACATGATGTAGACTAGCATTGTCAGAAGCAAATTAGACACATTCCACTTAGGAAATAAAATTTAAATTATCCACCGTTCATCTGATGGAACATACCCCCCCAAGAGATCACGTCTGTTAGTTTTACAACCGGGATGTTAAATAGGAATAAATGCCAACCAGCATTTTTTTCTATTTTCTTGCTCGCTGATGTACTGAAGGTTTTTTCTTATGTAGCTCAATTTAAATAGAGCTGCTCTAGAAAAAGGGTTGACTATGAAGGTCGGTTTACTATAAACAGGAATGCCAAACTTCTATGAACACATCTGTTAATTACTCATCGTTAATCTTTCAGAAATTGGCCCTCATGCACATAATTACACTCACACATTTCCAAGGTAAGACATGTAAGACAGTTCAGTACAGTCAGTGTTTGCAGCAAATAAAGGAGGAAAGGTTATCCATTGATTATGGGCAATATGGTGTTCACTAGCTTTCAAACAGGTTCTTTGGAGGATGAGGCCAGTGCCTTACCATGCAACAGATGATTTCGATTCCGGGAACAGAGAACAGTTAGAAATTTCACCTCGTCTGTCCCCCATTTCTTCTCTCCAGCCTCATACAGCTCCTGAAGCCAAATAAAGCACAAGTTTAAAACACCACAGAGAAGGTGCCAGCACATATCCACATTATTTCCAGAACTTCAAGAGCTGAGATGGCTTAGTTTGATTTTGCTGGTGATAGGAGAAGAGGTATTGGTGGTGAGTGGTAATGACTCAGGATTTTTCCTTAGGTATATAACTAATGGGACCCTATAAAATCTCACGAGAGTCAAGGCGGTCACTAGCAGCTCCCTACATGCAGACGACCTGGTTCTGTCTTAAGAGCTAAAAGGCATGCTCTAGATTTGGGTTGTCCTCTACAATAGCCACTAGCCACATGTGGATATTTAAATTTTAATTAATTAAAATTAAATAAAAAAATAAAAATTCAACTCCTCAGCCTCCCAGTCACACGTCAAGTGCTCTGGCCACATGTGGCTAGTGGCTGCTCATAATAGTGCAGAGTAGAACAATCCACACATCGCAGAAAGTTCCATCGGACTACACTGCTCTAAAAGGGAGTTGTGATTTGCTTGGGGCTACAAAGGTCTCACAGTAAAACCAAGACCCATCAGTAATGACTTATATTCCAACCAGGTAGGAATATAAGAAATTGATTCTACTTGCTTTAGCTATGCTATTGGTAAATCGACACAACTGTTCATATCACCTCACATCTATTAGGATGGCTGCTATTAAAAAAAAAGTATCAACAAGGTTGTGGAGAAATTGGAATCCTTGTGCATTGTTGGCGGGAATGTAAAATAAGGCAGCCTCTGTAGAAAACAGTATGGCCGTTCTTCAAAAAATTAGAAATAGAATTACTATATGACCCAGCAATCCTATTTCTGAGGATATATCCAAAAGAATTGGATCTTCAGAAGATATTTGTATACTCATGTTCTTCAGAAGATATTGGTATACTCATGTTCATAGCAGTGTTATTCACAATAGCCAAAAGGTAGAAGCCACCCAAATGTCTGTCGACACATGAATGGATAAATAAAATGGGATATATGCATACAATGGAATACGATGTATCCTTAAAAAGAAATTATGACATGTGCTACAACATGGATGAACGTTGAGGACATTATGCCAAGTGAAATAAGCCAGTCATAAAAAGACAAATATTGTATGATTTCACTTATATACGAAGTGTCTAAAGTAGTCAAACTCATAGAAACACAAAGTAGAATGGTGAGTGGCTGAGGAGTGGGGAAAATGAGTTGTTTAGTGGGTATACAGTTTCAATTTAGCAAGAGGAAAAGTTCTGGAGATTGGTTGCAAATGTGCATAGAGTTAACACTACTGAATGTACACTTAACATGGTTAAGATGGTAAATTTTACAAGTATGTTATGTGTATTTTATTTAAAAAATGTTTTAAAAACCCTACTGTTCATGTATAATGAACAGCTGGCTTGTTAATTTTTTCAAAATGCCCTTGACACATTTTGTCATTCATTGGGCTTACCTCCATCTACTCATCTATTTCTTCCCTTCTTTCTCTAATTCCCTAATTGCTTTAGTGCCAATTCACAGAATCATGAAATTTTAAAGCTGGGAGGACATGAAGTGTTCATCTAATTCAGTTGTTTTTCAACTTTTAATTTGAGCAGACTTGACCGCTTCAATCAACTGGATGGAGGGGGTAAACAGGGAACATCTGTAATACTGTCAACAATAAAAAATAAACCTAAAAAAAAGTTATGGTGGAAGTGACTGATTTCTGAGGCTAGATCATAAAAGGTCAGGCAGCTCTGTCTGAATTCCTGACCCACAGAATCCATGGGCATAATAAAATGGTGACTGTTTTTATGTCACTATGTTTGAGGTGGTTTGTTAAGCAGCAATAGTAACTAGAACATGTGGATAAAGAAACAATTTACAATCTGTCAGAGAATGATACTTTTGTAAAATACCATAAAAATGACCTTGAAAAGAGTAACCTTTTAAATAATGGGTGGAAATTGTATTTTTTGTGTTAAAATCTTTTTAAGACCTAGTGAGGTTGAACAACTTTTGTGTATTTGCCATTTCTATTTTTAATTGTTTGAGTTGCCTGTTAAAGTCCATTGCCCCTACACCTGGAAACTGCATAATTTTATTAACCAAAGTCACCCCAATAAGTTCGATAAAAAGTCTATTGTCTATTTATTAAAATACTAGAGCATTCTTATGCTCTAGTATCACAATATATGTTAAGCTTATTATACATAAGGTGAAACTTTTCCCCATTCTATCATTTGACCTTGAATTTTATTTCTGGTATTATCTGAAAAATTTGTATGATGTTGTTGTGTTGTGTGTGTATATATATATAATTGATTTCAGAGAGGAAGGGAGAGGGGGAGAGAGATAGAAACATCAATGATGAGAAAGAATTATTGACTGACTGCCTCCTGCACGCCCCTACTGGGGATCGAGCTTGCAATCCGCGCATGTGCCCTTGACCAGAATCAAACCTGGGACCCTTTAGTCCACAGGCCAACGCTCTATCCACTGAGCCAAACCAGCTAGGGCTTTGTTGTTTTTTAATGGAGCCAAACTACCAGCCATTTTCCTTTATGGTTTGTCTTGTGTGTCAGGCATATAAAATCCTTTCCCAGCTCCAGATTAAAAAATATTTAACATTGTGTTATAGTATCTTTCTGATCTCATTTATTTACATTAAAAACTTAATCTATTTGGAATTCATTATGATATGAAAGTTGGGATCTAACTTTTTTCTTTCCCAAATGGTTAGTCAGTTTTCCCAACTCAACTAAGTACTCTGTTTTCCTCAGATTTAGAATGCTGCCTGTCTATTCCCACATAGGCTTGGTTCTGCTCTTACACTTTCTAATCACTCCTTGGGTTCTCACATTCTTACACCAAGACCACATTCCTTAATTTATTTTTTTACCTTTATTATACCTTTAAGTATGTATCAGTACAAAGTTTTCCACATCCTTTTTGTCACGATTCTAATCGCCATCAATTTCCCTCTACATTCCTCCTTTTCTCTAATTGCTTCATCCTTTTCCTCTGAATACTGGAGATATTTTTTCTGTATAGCTTTCCACAACAATAATCCCATTTTCAGCAATATCATT